GAGTAGTGAGGTTTTTACCCACGAAAGCTTATGCCCAAATAAATCTGTTAGTCTTTAAGGTGCCACCAGACTCCTTGTTGTTTTTGTAGATACAGACTAACACGGCTACCCCCTGATACTTGTAGAGGCCAAAGGAGTGAATGTAACACTGTCACTGTTTAACGTTAAACAAGGTTTTGCGTTGGGTATTGTGACACACCCAGACCAGTGGGGTACAGGAATCTGGTAGAGGGCAAATATACTGGTCACTGGATGAGTAGTTTTCTGTTCCCTGAGTGACTAGAGCAGGGGCTGCATTAGAGTAATCAGGAACCTGCTAGAACCAGTTAAGGCAGGCTAATTAGGACACCTGGAACCAATTAAGAAGAAGCGGCTAGAATCAATTAAGGCAAGCTAATCAGGGCACCTGGGTTTTAAAAAGGAGCTCACTTCAGTTTGTGGTGTGAGTGTGAGGAGCTGGGAGCAAGAGGTGCAAGGAGCTGAGAGGGTGTGGGTGTGCTGCTGGAGGACTGAGGAGCATAAGCGTTATCAGACACCAGGAGGAAGGTCCTGTGGTGAGAATAAGGAAGGTATTTGGAGGAGGCCATGGGGAAGTAGCCCAGGGAGTTGTAGCTGTCATGCAATTGTTACAGGAGGCACTATAGACAGCTGCAGTTCACAGGGCCCTGGGTTGGAACCCGGAGTAGAGGGCGGGCCTGGGTTCCCCCCAAACCAATTGACCTGGACTGTGGGTTCTTCCAGAGGGGAAGGTCTCTGGGCTGTTCCCCAACCCACATGGTGAATCTCTGAGGCAAGAAAATCTGCCAATAAGCGCAGGACCCACCAAGATAGAGGAGTCAAGTATCAGAGGGGTAGCTGTGTTAGTCTGAATCTGTAAAAAGCAACAGAGGGTCCTGTGGCACCTTTAAGACTAACAGAAGTATTGGGAGCATAAGCTTTCGTGGGTAAGAACATCACTTCTTCAGATGCAAGAATCTGTAATGAGGTTCTTACCCACGAAAGCTTATGCTCCCAATACTTCAAGATAGATGAGGAACTTTGTCACAGTATACAGAGACTTTAGCTTGCTTAGTGCCTTGGCAAACAGACCATTAAAAATCATTTTAATCTTCCATTAAAGATACAGAAAAGAAGGAAAAACAGCTAATACTTTACATTTCAAATGCTTTGAGAGAGACTTATTTAAACTCCTTTTTTTTGGTATTTTAGCTGGAGAGAGGTTTTTAGATGGGGGAAAAAAAACCCATGTTTGACAGTCTTTTAGATGGTGTTAAATATGATAATAACT